TTAAGTGTAACCCACTTAGCTGATACCGCCATCTTTATTTATCAAGACGACTCATCAAAAAGCTACAACACGGTGAACTGCAAGTAATTTTAGTGTACGTAAAGGCACAAGCTTGGCACTGGGCTTAGAAATGTTAGTGACACCCCCGCCCACACCATTACGTATATCTGTGTGACCCGACCGCATGAAAACAGAGCGATTGCCTTGATCTGTCTAGTTATTTACTTCATCTATACCAAGATCTGCCGATAAGGTTATCACACGATTGACCTCAACAAGTTAGTATCAAGGCGGGGTGGGGGGATGCGGGGATGGAAACACGCAAAGGACAAAAAAAAATTGGCTGGGCTTCAGAAGTAAGAATATTCCATCGGCTACCGGCTAGCTGACTAAATAACGGAAACACCGAGCAATCCACTGTATCCAACAGTGGATTATCAAGCCGAGCACTGCTACCATCGCGATTTCAGTTATAACGACCTGATACATAGACTACGATATAATGTAATAAAAAGAGTTAAGAAACTAGTTATGCATTTAGTGAAGTTAAAATTTCTAAAAAGCCATTCTCTATCTTGTTCTTGTAAAACGGGTTCAAAAAAGTATCACCCACATAAATGTGTACATTATCTTCGTACTCGTATAAATTTGTATAAAGCGTATATTTGTGTAAAAATCAAACTATGTGAATATTTGTTGAAAAATAAGTATCACCCCCTCCCCTTCCTTACTAAAATGTTTGTTTCTGGAATCCGAAAAACGAAGCTAAAAGCTACAAGTTGTTTATTAAAATATGCCAATCCAAAATTACCCCCTTTGGAAGCTGCCCATCGCAGTAATATAAAACGTCATCCGCTCAGCGTGTTTGCTTAACTCGAAAGTAGGTCATCAACAACCTGGTGACGGGCAAGGCCGCAGTGGAGAGAGCTCAAGCGTTGGCCTTACGCCAGGGGAGTTTTACCGGACGATTCCAATGTATAAAATCGATAGGGGAGTTGGATTTCCCCTTGTCGAAAAAAAAAAATCCACACAGGCACGCTATGAAAATAAAGAAATAAAAGAAGAGGGACTGAGGTGGATGAGGGGGTGGGTGGGGGGATTGCGCAAGGACTTATTTTAGCAACCACCGTTTTAACCATTTTTAAACTTGCAATGTCAGTGATTATTGTTTCGAAATAGACACATGCACATTTACGCGTGAACCCTATTCATATTGCTACATCATCTACGCATGTCATGTAGTGGAAGGTCAAAGGGAATTTTGGGTAACCAATGGGGGTTTCTTCGAACACCCTGACAGGCGATCCTCGATCTACCCCCCCCCCCCAACTCCCATCAGTAGATACAATCTCGTATTAGACCTACAGAACCAGCGGCCGTTTCTACGTAACTTGAGACGTTACAGCTGCTGTGAAAAATACACCTCTGCACTTTGAAATGGTTTTATCGTTAGTAGAGAGACGTCATACAGTTTTATGTCTTGTTATATCCTAAGGGATCATCCATAAACGGCGTCACGCTTTTTAACTATTCCCCCCCCCCCCCCCGTCGTCACAAAAATCAAGACACCCCCCCCCCCCCCCCACGCACCCAAAAAAAGTAGTTACACGGCCAAAAGACCCCTCAACATTGCATTCTTGTTTTTTTAAACAGCTATTGCTATTTAAAATATTTACTGACCTTTATCAAAACTGACTATAAATATTATTTCAATAAGAAAAACAATTTATTTAAACCACACAATAACTGGTAAATAAAATTCAGTTTATAATATCACATTTTAAAAAGCTCGGGTGTCATCAATATTTCTACCCCCCCCCCCCCAGCTGTCACTCACTTTCACAAATGTCCCATCCCCCTTCCACCCTAGGAGTGTGACATCGTTTATGGACGACCCCTGACAAAATATTCAACTGTTTACAAGAGAGAGACAACCACACAAGACTACTACACACTGAGGGCAGCTCTATAGATCTGGACCCAAAAAAATCAATAGTTCACACATTCTATTTTCTTTTGCTCAAATAAAATTGTTGCTGTTAAAAATGTACAAAAATATATAAAATATTCATACTTTACTTAATAATATTACTATAGGAACAAAAATTAACTTTGATGTAAGCACTAGAGTTCTAAGATTTCTTTTTAAAAACTGACATGTGATTGATCTTATAGACAATTAACGGATAAGAAATTATTGTAGATATTCAGTTTACACTTTAAACACTTATATCACTTTAACACTAGTTAATAAACTTTTATTAATTAATTAGATAATCCTCTCTTTAAAAAACACATGATGACTCAATAACAGTCATCACTAGCCAAAAGTCTCTTCCCTTTTAAAATTTCCCCCATTGGAATTTTCATGAGAAATTTTAAGCTTGACAATATTAACAACAACCACATTTTTAATACACAGGATACAACAACAAAAATTTTGACTAGGCTTAGGTAATTAGTAAATTGCACTGTTTAAATTCAAATTATGCTAAAATAATAATGCAAAGGGCAAGCAATTTTGTTGCAAGCTATTAGCTTCCTAATCTTTAATCATCGCTGTAATACATACAGCCATTAACCCTAATTAGCAATGTAAAGTATGTTGTATATTCGAATAAATCACTTGAAGTGCTTTAATAAAAATGCTTTATTTTTCTCTTATTTGTTTGTTAATTCAAAGCCTAAAACCTAATAATAATTGCAGTCAAAGTTTAAAGAAAAACAACAACAAAGTTATTAATTGTAGTTTGAATATTACCAAATATTGGTTAAGAATAATTACAATTCTAAAATAGTGCACAATATTTTGATAATAACAAAATATCACCATACTGGGCAATTTTATAATTTTAAAGAAGACATGCATCATGTAAGATTGGAATTTTCCTCCAGGATAATTCTACTTCAAATTGTTCACCAACTAAGAATGTTTGTATGTCTTCTGACCTATCAGCAAGTTGAGTTCTAAGATTCTTCCTTCTATGGCTCCTAAATGACATTTCCTTCCCATAAAAAAGTAAGAGGTTTTGGAAGACAATTCATTCCTGTACAACAATAAATGTTCCAAAACGATATTTCACTCCATACATTTAACACATTTACTATCTAAATGACTAAATAGCCTAGCCTTTTATACAACTAGCAAGGCTACTTAAAGACAGTTCATCCCATCAATTAGTGAGTTTGCTGCCTGACATTTCCTTTGATACAATCACTAGTGTAAATATAAGGCAACTATTTCCCACATGTTTTCATGAGTATACCTCCTACTGTCACACAAAAAAAAAAAATTGTAGGCTAACCCATGAGCAAATAGATATATAACAATAATTGACAAGTGACCTCATACATCAGAATTTGAAGTTCATAGGCACATTCTTAGTATATAGGCTAAGCTATGTGTTGTTTTACATAAATAAACACACTATTATTTACAAACAAAATAATTTTAATTGGCTGACTAATGATGATTTTATAACCTTAAATAAAGTATTTTAAAAAAACAGCCTGTTAAAGAATGTTTGAATTGTACAGATAATGTAAAGTAGAAAAAAATATTTCAAACTATAGTAAATGTTTTATGTAGAAAAATAAGTCATCATTTAGAGGGGGTGGTAGGTGGGGAAGGGGACTGGTTTCACAATTAAAGGTTCTGGGGCTCTTTGAAAAAACAAAGCCTATTTTTACTGCTCACAACTAATGCGAATTTTCATTTTGAAAAATTAAAACAAAGATCTAACTAATTAAGCTTTTGGACTATTCTTCTCCCCACATTATCAGAAAAACTGGAATTCAGCCAATTCCCCCCCCCCCCCCCCCCCCCCGAATTTATTGTTATTTTGAAAAACTTTTTTTTTTAAAAGCAAACAGATTGACGTCACATTTTTGAGTCCCTGCATCCTTTATCCATATCGCACAAAATCCGCACTTCCCTCCCCAACCTCTAGGAATGTGTTGCCATTTATTACAAGCATGATTCTAATTACTACTTAAGAAACTAAATTAAAGAAGTAGAACTATTAATAATATTATGGCCTATAGGCTATAGGCCTAGTCCTGGAATAGTTTAATGGGGAAATAAGTACAACTGTACAACATATACGATTTTAGTTAAGCTATAAAATCTACATATTTTAGAGTCGTCTAGATCTATATCACATAGACCTAGAACTAGGATTAAGTTGGCATATTTCCTAAAGGTTTGGTGTGTATTGTTTTTTTTCAATCGACAATAACTGTGCCATCAAATAGATTTAATCTAGATCTAGATCTAGATTCTAGGTCTAGATTCTAGATTTCTTGCTAGATTCTAGGCCTAACTCCTTTATTTTTCATAACTAACGACTGAGTAGACAAAAATTGTTTTCATCTTAGTCTTTTTGTAAAGCTGATATCAAACGTAATTATTAGTATCTAGATCTAGTTATCTAGATTCTAAATCCTTTTGAATATTGTGCTTATACTTATGATTTTAGATATGTAAATCCTATAATCATACTCAATGGCGCATTTGCTATATTAGTATCTAGGAAATCAGCAGGATACACATTTACAGTTGGTGAAACACCCCTATTTATAAAATGAACTGTTCCATCCGGAACGCCATATTTTGTCTACCAACCACATCAACATAGATGCAGCGAAAGGTTATGAAGATTTGTTCACAATAAATATTAAAATCCATAAATGCGGCAAAGTAAAATTATGCAAATGAAATATCGAAAAGCTTAAATTAATCTAGAGTATTCGATGACAAGAGAACAACCTGCAAAGAGGAATGCATATTAATTAGGAAGGGTAACCCCAGTTTGAGTTCACCAATCGGTGTTTCCCATTCAACACAACAGAGCCCACAACAACAATATAAATTTAACACAAACAAAACAATTGAATTAGTAAGCATATTTTGGATGTAAAATTAAAATATATTTAGTATTTTAAGTATAAACAACGCAAATGTTGTGTATGTAGGTCAACTAAGCAAGAAAGAAACTTACGGTTCGGAGCCGGAGGTAAAACGTCTGACAGGGTGGTTTTCCGACGTGGCATTCCCTAACACTAACAGTAGACGACGCCTCGCTTTATTTTCCAATTTACTTATAGTATTAAATACTGTAATAAAAGCACAGTAAACACATTTGAATCCTCCATAGTATCAATATACCAAGCGAATAAAAAGATCCTGAAAATTGTGCTGTTTTCAGAAGAAACTCCAAGGGAAATTCGAAATCAACACGGGGATCCTCGCTCAGCCGTGCTTGGTTTGCCTTGACTGACGTCACCGACCTTTTTCTAACGGCAGACCAAAACGAGGCCAGAACACAATGAATTTTTTTAATAAAACTTAAAGGGAAGTCACTTCCTAGGATACTGTTTAGTAATAAAGCAGTCACGTCCCTTTTTTTTTTTTAAATTAATTTCATTTGAATTTGGCTTATATGATAGCAAATTTCTACCAACTCAAATATTTTTTCCGCAAAGATTAATTTTTTTTAAAAAGTACTCTCATTGTAATAAAAACAATGCAACTATAATTATAACTGTGCCGCCAAGAATGAAGTATGACTGATGTGATTTACATCATCGTTTTAAAATATTAAACATTTATTTATATTTTCCTATATATTTATAATTGATTTTATATGTCACTAAAACGCTTCATTTACATGGTTTGTAAAAGCATTTTTCACTATAAATGATTATGAAAAATATATTTTGTAAGAATTATGACTCTTAGGTGGGGAATGCCACTTTGTGATGTAATGTATGGTGTAGCTAATTAGGAGAGGTGCGATATCATATTGTGGTAAATTATACGAAACTACATAAAATCATTTTTGGAGAATCTCAGAACCCGTTGGTACTAAAAAAAAAAATTAAATTGCTTTTACACTGTTTAAAATGAATGAATGTTAGTTTTTTAAGAATTTTGAAACAAAAATCATTTTCAATTGGAGAGTCTAAAGTGATTATGTTGAGAATATACTGTTAGATTTTTATTGAGGGGAGGGGGGGGGGGGCTCTCTAGTATCTGGAATCACCTTTTCTGGACGACTTAGCACCCCTCCCGCATATCTCACCCCCATTGTCACACATAACGTTTAATGTTAGATTACCCTCCCCCACCATAAAATTACCCTTCAGTCTCCCCTCCATTTCTCATTATGTTTTCTGATTTCTTTCTAAAACGTCATATATGCTGAAGCAACAATAGGTAATTTGATCTATTATTTTAATAACATTAATAATAACACAATTATAAAATGCGAGATCAATGGTAAAATTCAGTTTCGAAAATTAGTTTTAAATGGAAGCATGTAATGTCACTATTTCTGACCAATATGTTGTTTTTAATTTAGATATTAGACTGATATGAAACTAAAAAAAGTGTGTAAAATTTAAATTGTGATTTACAACCACTTTATCACCACTTTTCTCCATCATCTTCCGCTTGATAGAAATCATAGCCTCATATCAATCTGTTAATTGAATAGCCGAAATTTATAAGTCGTTTTTATTTTAGTGTCTTTGGAAATTAACATTTTAGTACCCTAATAATTTCGTATCACTAAATTGGTTGAACTTAAATGACCGCATGCTTTACCAAAAATGAATTTTATGAATGCCTTACCGAGGCTGGTCTGTTGTTCTAGCGTTATAATATAAAATTAAGGTTCGCGCAGAAATAAAAGGGAAATAAGTCTGATAAACTTGGAATAGATAAGGGAAACAACTTAGGAAAACTTGATTTCGTACTTATGTTTCATTCTATCAGCTGCTTTTCATTTCAGATAGGTTTTTTTTATATAAGAGATTTTTCAGAAAAAAAAACAATTTAAAATCATTATTGGTGATATCTTTAGCGGTGTTACGATTATATAAATTAATAAAATTGAAGTAACATTGTATTTTGCTAAATACAAAAATATTTGTGTATTGGCCTACAGGCAAAAGCTATAAATATGCACATCCTGCATTATTTCTCTTCTAATTAGTTTGTTAGTATTTGTAAATTTTCATATGGACTCAGGGCGGTCTACTGATATGAACAGTGAACACGTATTCGAACTCGAGACTTACGGGTTAGCAGTCCATCGCTCTACCGCTAGACCACTAAAAAAGTAGTTCATTAATAAAGAGAATTAAGAAAAAAAAAATTCTTTGGAATCAACTCCGGGGTATAACTATGGTTATAATTAGGATTGTGGTTTAAGTATCGTTATTTACGATACCACTGGTTTAAGGTGGAGTCCCTTCCTGCATGTGACTTAAGGTTATATAATAGATCTCTGTGTACGGGTGGTAGAAATGTGTCCAACCAGTGTGTTCTATATAAGGACGAATAAAAATAATTTTGTGTGCATATTAGTTTGTTTACAAATACGTTTCTATTAATGAAGGGATGCAGTGTGTGTAAACTGGGTTACCCTTATTCTAGCTATCACTTGTTGGGGCTCGGTGATGTAATGAAGGGGAGGGGGGTGTGATGAAACAAGGTAGACAAGCGCTGCATTGATAAGAAGAAGCCTAGTTGTGCGTTTCGTTAATTGCGCACCATGCGCACTCAAATATTAGGATGACAAACTGTGCTGGGGTTCATTTTGTAAGATTATTTTTATGAACGACTTTCGTAGGCCTACATATTTAACTACGTATTTCGTTAAAGAACATTTTATCTCAGTGTATCTATCTATACATATAATTCTCTTCATGGAGAACATAGAAAACACCACGCAACTTAGCCACCACCCTCATCCCCACCTGTCATGAGAGCTGTGGTTCACCCCGAATGTTTACACTAGTAGAGCCGGTTCGAATAAGTGACGGCTATTAGGGGCAGATAATTTAGTTTTTAAACGAATTGAAACTAAAGGGAGATAATAAGTTCTGCTTGATATTTTCATTGTCGTCTGTAATCGGCTACTTTCACGGGGCGGGTTGGGGGGGGGGGGGGGGGGGGGAGGCAGGGAGTGGGGTAGTGTCGAATTTAAAAATTATGAATTGTTGATAAGTAGAAAATAAAACAACTAGATAGCGGCGGCGTATGCTACGTCGCGGGTCATCTGGTTCTTTATATTTCAACAACATCTGCAGTGAAAATATTGAGTTTGCAGGATAAAATACCTTGTTTAACATTATCCACCACACTCACAATCTTCCCAAGTCCCACCCTCATACTAACATTCCAGAAAGCTCCAGGCTATTAAAGAAGTTAACAAATGCAACACCAAAAAAAACTTAATAGTTATAGCGAGAATAAAATATTATCGCTAAAAAGTTTATCGGCAAATCAGAAAGGGAAGCAACTCCAGCGAAAAAATGTAGTATCAAAATAGAAAAACATCTTTGTTAAAAAAAAATGTAAACATAAATTTTGTACTTTGTTTTAACGACTCAATAGCGAGATTTGTTTTCAAAAGATGTTTTTGCTTTCTCGTATATACGAAGTATAGAGAAATTCTTGTAATCGTGCAAAATCTCGACGTTTTACACCTCAGTGATACGGAAAAACATAATTTTGCAATCTTGTCCGTATGTCTGTGTGTCTGTGTGTGTGTCTGTCTGTCTGTGTGTAAACACTATAACTTGAGTACCGTTACAGCTAGGTTGATAAAATTTTATATATAAGTATTTTATCAAAATCGTAGATCCGTATAAACTTTTGAGCGATTTCCGATAACCGGAAGTGGTACTTTTTCTACTTTGAATTTTTCAAAAGCCTAAAACTTGAGTACTATTTCAGATAGATAAATGAAATTTCACATGTAAGTAAAAGATCTAAATCTCTACCTTCTTTCCAATTTTGAGTAATTTCCTTTGACCGGAAGTACTAATTTTCGCTATTTCCGATTTCTCAAAAAACGCATGTAAATTTATAAAGTACTAATAATATTGCGCACTATTATGCACATTTTGTTTTGGCGTTCGCTTGGTGCGCAATTCTTTTTTTCTATGAGATTCTATTCTATTTTTAAAAGTTTAAGTAATTAAAAATCATGTCTATATTCCAAGTTATAAAGAATATTCGAGAAAGTTTAGGGGAGATCACTCCCGGTTTATTTTAGTTGTATTACAGTTCTAATAATGGCACGGCGTGGTTAAAGGATAGAGATTTCGTCTGCTTAAGACTTCAGCTTGGATCTCTGGCTAGTTGTAGCACGTCTCTGAGACCGCCCAGCTCTGATGGGGGGGGGGGAGGTTTCTTTCAGGCATCTCCCCTCCCCCCTCCCCCATCCCACACCCTCCCGGAAAAAAAAGTATAAAAGACAGGAAACACTGTTTGGGCATAGTGATAACGTTCACTCTATCCCTCCTAATGTCGAGGTCACAGAAACAAGTAAATCTACTTCACCTGCCCAGTGGGCCATTCGGTCCGACAGGAAACTCTACGTACTTACAGTTCTAATATATATATATATATATATATATATATATATATATATATATATATATATATATATATATATATATATATATATATATAATTTATTATTTAATTTTCTACCTAGCAGTTTTAGTAAATCTGTATTCTATTTTTTCCCCTAAAGGCTGACGGCACTTTAAAAATCAGCCCGCCATTTCAAACATGACACTGGCACACAGGCGCGTGCAGAAACCCACAGTGGCGCGGAAATATCAATGGGAGTTATCCTTCCCTACCCCGAGAGGGAGCTTTTTTTTAAGGCGAAGAGAAATCCGAAACACCGCCTCGCGCTTGCACGCGCCACACGTAAACCCACTCGCTTAGACCAACATTGTCGTTCGGAGTTATCGCTCTTTGCTCAATTTAAATAATTTTTTACAATTATTTTTTTTTTACGTTTTAATTAATTCATTTACGGTGAAAAAAAAGCTGGATTGAAATTATTCTGTTTATTTCTAATGTGTTTTAGATTATATTTTTAAATCTAAGCAACGAAGAAAATTTCGTTTTGTGATTTCGTTAGTTGGAAGGATTTTTTCACGGAAAGAACTTAGAGAAATGCTGTCAGTGTCATATTTTCTTTGCTAAGTCGACAGGTATGTATAATATTTATATTTTTAATGCGGAGAAGGGGCGGTGTAGCTGTTTGGGGAAGGGGGAGGGTGAGATGAGAACGTCTCGTATATAAACCGATATGTCCGAGATAGAGGCATATAAAATCTTCAGGGAACATTCTATAAAGGACATCAAGGGAATTTCGTCGACCCCCCCCCTTCTTTTCCCGGCTTTAACCTAAGTTACAAATAGCCCCACTTCCCGTCCTCCCCCCCCCCCCCTATTTCGTATGAAATAACGTTACGAAGCTCCACCTACAGCTATAGTTCTAACACTCACAAATCCCATTTACCATTGTTCTTGACCACGCCCATTTTATTAACTACCCCCTCCTCCGCCCCCTACACAGCTTAGCTCATAACCACGAAGAAATGGATCGGGGGGGGGGGGGAAGGTGGGGGGGAATGGGTTGAGAACAATACCCCCCACCACCACCACCACCGCCGCCGCTGCATCAACCACCATAACACAGCCGCTAGTGTCTAAATTCTATAAATTACTTAGTTGTTTACATTACATAGATGTATTTATTTATTTTTTAATTCACCAAGCTAATTATCTTCATTAGCCTATTTTTATGAAAAAAGAAAGTTGTTAGATAAGGCGATAAGATTAAATGTGCGATGATTCAGTTACTGTTTCTTGTGTAGATGTAGTCCTCGGTAGTATAGTGGTAAGTATCCCCGCCTGTCACGCGGGAGACCGGGGTTCGATTCCCCGCCGGGGAGGATACTTTTTATCCCGAATAAACAAAATAGTTAGTTTATTATATGTTTCATTTAGTATATTAGAGGAGCATAATTGCATAATTTTCGTTTTTTTTTTTTTAAAAAGGATAAAAACTTAAAGTATAAGTTTGTATCACTAGCAGAACGGATCCAATCAAGCGATCAAATAGTAATAATTTTTCTCTTTCCCATTTCGATAATTTTTTTAATGGTCTCTGTCAAGTTAACTGAGAACAGTCGGACTCTATAATTGTCGTTGACAATAGGGAAAAACTTTTCATGGACATTTCGTTTTTTTTTTTTTTTAAATTAAATTAAACCTTGATAACATGTAGAAATCTAATACTTTAAGAATGTATGTCTTTCTTTTTACATTAAAATGCATGACCTTGACAAAGTGGTATTATCACCATGGAAACACAAACCCTGATTGGTTATTTAATCAAGACCATCATTACCTTTGTGTTAAGCCTTCATTTAAATTCTTCTGAGTCGTGGATTTTAAGGGTTAGTGCTTCGGTTAAAATCAATATTCCACTGTGCAGCAGTTGGGTTTTTGTTTGTGCCTTTTAATGTGGTTTTTTTTTCTGTCACAATTTATTTTTAGTTACTTCAAATATTAAAGACCACCAACTCTTTCAGATCATTTGCTCCGGGACGGGTAGGGTGGTGGTCGGGGGGGGGGGGGGAGGGGGTAAACAAGAGGTGGCGGACAGCAGTTATAACAATGGTTTATATATATACGTGTGTTTTCTTTAGGAGGGAGGAGAGTTCTTCTCACACAACCCCATCCCACACTGCACACAATTTAAAAAAAAAAAAAAAGATTCCAACTATCTTTGAGAATCCACCCGTCTGATGCCAGTGCAACTGATTTCCTTCTCTGCTGAAAGCTAATTGCTTCAATGTATTCTAGATCCATAGAAATTTTCCTTGACTACTAATTAGCTGTATCTAAAAATAGCTCTTCGTTACCCGCGCGACACAGCTCCGTGTCTATTAGGTCACCGCTTTCAATCTTCCTCGAGTAGTCCACGACGACTATAGACCTACTAAACACGTAACACTTAAAGACCTACCACGCACGTGACACTTAAAGACCTACCACGCACGTGACACTTATAGACCTACTATGCAGGTGCTGAATCGTACTCACCACCAGCCCTCACCCCCCCTCCCCCCTTCTTCCCCCCCCCCCCCCCCCCATCTATATTCCAACACCGTCTCTAGCCGACGACCCGGGATATTATAACTTAACCCTCGATTTAGAACCACGAGCATGATTTTTTTCCCGACTGAGAAGTCAATTACTCCCCCCCCCCCCCACACCCCCTTCTTTGGACTGAGCGTGCTGGTACCCATTAGTCTTGTCCCAGTTGTACTAATTTTAGGGCCCTTTTTTTGCTCCTGTGTGGTAGTTGGCTCGAGTACTAGGGTGTCCTGTAGAGAGATGAAGGGCTGTACTGTTCTAATGACCTAATGACCTGAAGGGCTGGACTGTTCTAATGACCTAATGACCTGAAGGGCTGTACTGTTCTAATGACCTAATGATATGAAGGGCTGTACTGTTCTAATGACCTAATGACCTGAAGGGCTGTACTGTTCTAATGACCTAATGATCTGAAGAGCTGGACTGTGACCTAATGATATGAAAGGCTGTACTGTCCTAAAGACCTAATGATACGAAGGGCTGTACTGTTCTAATGACCTAATGATCTGAAAAGCTGTACTGTTCTAATGACCTAATGATACAAAGGCCTGTACTGTTCTAATGACCTAATGATACGAAGGGCTGTACTGTCTGTTCTAATGACCTAATGATATGAAGGGCTGTACTGTTCTAATGACCTAATGATACGAAGGGCTGTACTGTTCTAATGACCTAATGATATGAAGGGCTGTAATGTTCTAATGACCGTATGATCTGAAGAGGTGCTTTGTATGTGTGATCTAACGACCTAATATGAAATGGTTTATTTGTTAGAAAATAAGATGGTGGGCCATCATCTATATGTGGGCTAATGATCTGGTGGGCTAAATTACACCGATGGGCTAATGATCTGGTGGGCTAAATTACACCTGTGGGTTAATGATCTGGTGGGCTAAATTACACCTGTGGGCTAATGATCTGGTGGGCTAAATTACACCTTGGGCTAATGATCTGGTGGGCTAAATTACACCTGTGGGCTAATGATCTGGTGGGCTAAATTACACCGATGGGCTAATGATCTGGTGGGCTAAATTACACCTGTGGGCTAATGATCTGGTGGGCTAAATTACACCTGTGGGCTAATGACCTCGTGGGCTAAATTACACCGATGAGGTAATGATCTGGTGGGCTAACCAGTGCATGCTGGATTATGATACTGTATTTATTGGTGGATTCGTGTGCTGAAGACCCCAAGGACTATTTTGAACTAGCAATCAAATAACATTATGGGCTTTTGTGTATTATCTATCTAATGACCAATACAAGCTTGTACTAGCTATCTTGTATTAGCAATCTAATGAACCAATGGGCTATCCTGTTGGCTAACAGCGTCATGAGCCCTATCTCCTAAGTATATACTTTATACAGAGAAACAGCCGTCATGTAAACATGTATATATCGGAATCAACAGCCCCATCCACATAATGCAATAGTAAGATAAGATAAAAAGACGGTATTTGAAAACAGAAGTTTGTTATGTATATGTATTTCCAAAGTAATGCCAACACAATCACGTAATTCAGCAATACAGATAAACTCTACTTCATTTTTACTTTTCTAGATCTAGATTTCATTACAACAGCATTTGAGAATAATTTTTAAAAATGCATTTTAATATAAAAAAAATTTAAAAAATGAGAAAACGGATAGACTCATTAGACTGTAATTGATTATACGAAAAAGACACGGAGAAAAACATACCAGCATAATAATATACAAATGTTATTTTGCTGTAGGTCGTAGTTTATAAAGCTGGATGATGTAAAGAGTGTGTGATGTAGAGCGGCACATCCTGATGTTTGATCTGGTCGTTGATGGCGTTGTACGTGATGTTGACCCAGTCACACACACACATATACATACACACACACATACATACACACACACACACGGTCATATTGATGGACATATTTGTCCACTCTTCGCCCACACACGTCAACACTCCGTCAACACACATGTTCACACACATACGTCCACACGTCGCCTACACACACGCCCACACACACACGTGACGAAAGTTTGACCACGTGCATGTCCACAAACACGCCCACACTTTGCCCGCACTTCTCTCACACAAATATCCCCAATCCACACACGTCCACACTTCGCCACCACACACACGCATACCAACCACACACACGTCCACACTTTGCCTTCACAAACGTCCACAAACACATCCATACTTCGCCCACACTTTTCCCACACACCGTCTATACCGTCCACAAACAGATCCACACTTTGGATACACACACGTCCACACTCACATACACACTTTACACATATATCGCTGACCCAAATATCCTCAAACCCCACACCCCTTCACCCATCTATAATAATAGTTTCGCTGTCTGTCTATCTATCTATCTATCTATCTATCTATCTATCTATCTATCTATCTGTCTGACAAGAACGCTCTAGAGAAAACACAAGGAATTTAAAAACCTGCACAGTAATTCGAAAAACGAAATATGACGTCGACACATTTAGCATATTAAAGTTGAAAATAATCTCAAGGCGGAAAGTGCACACAGTAATATAATGACGTCATTGATTATCGCGTAAACATTGAAAAAAAGGAAATGTCTAATCTAAATGGTTTGCGTGAAGAGTTTCTTGCATACAATTCTTCGGGTAGGGGCGAAGCCCCACCCCCCGCGTAAGAACGTCTGAGGGGGGTGGGGTGGGGGGGGGGGGGGGGTTGAGTGGGGGGTGGTTTTAATTTAGACTTTTTCCTCCCCGGAGAGGGGTGGGGGTACTTGAAATTTTCGGGGGCGGGGGTAGAATTTTCGGGGAGGGGGCGGACACTGGAAAAAGTATATAATTATATTTCGTTGAATGGGACGGTAGACATGTTTTTTTAGGGGGGGGTGTGGGTGGGGGTGGGGGGAGGGGTGGTGTGTGGGGGGGGGATGGGGGGGTGAGTGGGGGGGGGGGGGGTGGTTTTAATTTAGACTTTTTCCTCCCCGGAGAGGGGTGGGGGGTACTTGAAATTTTCGGGGGCGGGGGTAGAATTTTCGGGGAGGGGGCGGACACTGGAAAAAGT